TCCGGGCTCCAGGCGTCCCGCCTCGCCCAGCGCCCTGCGCAACGCCCCGCTCCCCACGTACCCCTTCCACTTGCTTCCCAGGCCCTGCGCCCGGTGCCCCGCCCTCCTCCCCACATACCCGTCCCCCCTTTTTCCCTTTGCCTTGCGCACCGCACCCCCTCATCAGTCACCCCTTGCTCCCCTGGCCCTGCGCCCCCACGCGCACCCCCTCAACCCTGTTCCCGGCGCCCTCTGCTGGCCCCACTCTTCCCGGGAAAGGGCAGCACCCTCCCTCAGAGACAGAGAGAGTGCTGTACTGAGATGTTTCCAGCCCCCAGACTAACTTGAGCCATTGTCAGAGAAACAGTAGTCCCCAGAGGTACAAGTAAATGTGGGGATATGTCAAAAGAAGATACATTAGTAAGGATGAAGGGGGCTTGAATATCACAATTACCAAACCTGACCTCATGGAGATTTTACACACGCACAAATGGCCAATGAACACATGAAAAAGCGCCCAACGTTACCATCAGTCAGCACAGAGATGTAAATTAAAACCAAAAAATGAGTAGGAAACCAAAGCATTAAGAATGACTCACGTAGACAGGAAACTATCAACACCCTAGAGGAGAAAGCAGGAAACAACCTCCTTGACCTCCACCGCAGCAACTTCTTACTTGACACATCCCCAAAAGCAAGGGAATCAAGAGCAAAAATAAATAATTGAGACCTCATCAAGATTAAAAGCTTCTGCACAGCCAAGGAAACAACCCAGAAAATTAATAGGCAACCAACGGAATGGGAAAAGATAGTTGCAAATGACATATCAGATAAAGGGTTAATATCCAAAATCTATAAGAAACTCACCAAACTCCACGCCTGAAAAACAAACAACCCAGTGAAGAAATGGGCAGAAGATATGAACAGACACTTCTCCAAAGAGGACATCCAGATGGCCAACAGACACATGAAACGATGCTCAGCATCCCTCCTCATCAGGGAAATACAAATCAAAACCACACTGAGATACCACCTCACACCAGTCAGAGTGGCTAAAATGAGCAAATCAGAGAACTCGAGATGCTGGCGAGGATGTGGAGAAACGGGCACCCTCCTACACTGTTGGTGGGAATGTAAACTGGTATGGCCCCTCTGGAAAACAGTGTGGAGGTTCCTCAGGAAACTAACAATGGAATCTCCCTATGACCCAGCAATAGCACTGCTAGGAATTGACCCAAGGGATACAGAAATGCTGATGCATAGGAGCACATGGACCCCAATGTTCACAGCAGCACTCTCAACAATAGCCAAAACATGGAAAGAGCCTAAGTGTCCATCAACGGACAAATGGATGAAGAAGATGTGGTTTATCTATACGATGGAATACTACATGGCAATGAGAAACAATGAAATCTGGCCTGTGTAGCAACATGGATGGAACTTGAGGGTGTTATGCTGAGCGAAATAAGTCAGGCAGAGAAGGACAAATATCATATGTGTGCACGTATAGGAGGATTAGGAGGAATTTGACGGAGGAACAAGGGGGAGAAGAAGGGCGGAAATGGTGGGGGAAAGGGAGAGAGGCAAACCATGAGAGACTCTTGAATGCTGACAAAAACTGAGGACTGATGGATGTGGGGGGGAGGGGGAGATGGGCATGGAGGAGGACACTTGTGGGGATGAGCACTGAGTGTTATGTGGAAACTAATTTGACAATAAACTATTTGTAAAAAATAATAATAATAATAAAGCAGTAGGTACTGTCAAAAAAAAAAAAAAAAGAATGACTCACGTATTTCTACTTATGGCCAAGGTGGAGCAACAGGGACCAAATATACCTTCCTGTTTGAAATAACCAAAAAAAAAAAAAAAAGACAAGAAGAGAGAGAGAGAGGTGGGCATCACATACAACATAGCACTCAACAACTGCGGAATGTATGTTATTTCCCTGCACACAGGTAACAGTTATAATAGCCATTCATACATAGGCTTAACCTCCAATTTCAAAGGAATAATATGGAGATACCAGATTGCATATATCATAATAAAACTAAGCTCAGAATCAAAAACAAAATGATAACTACTAAAATTCATAGTTGGAAATTAAGAAACATATATTAATATATTGGTCAAAATTAAATCATAAGAGATCAGAAAATTTTTAGCATTAAATACTAACATAACATACATATCAAACTTGAGGGATTCTTTTGAAGCAGTATTTAGAGGGAAACATGACATTAGGAAAGAAGGAAATCTGAAATTTAATGAGCTAAATATTAATTCCAAGTACTGTACTTAGAAAGAGAGCTTCAAAATAAAATAAAGAAGGAAATAATAGTGCGATTTTTATAAAACAGAAAACATACAATAGAGATCTATTCAAAATAATATATTCAGAAGTTAGTTCTTTGAAAAGACCAAAACAAAATAAAATTATCTCTAGTGATGTTACTGGCCAAGGAAGAATTAAAAAGAAAGTACATGAGTCACCATTATCAGGAAATAAAGACTATACTATAGGTCTTGCAGACATTAAAATAATAAAATAATAGTACAAAAATCTTTGTGCCAATAAACATAAATATATAGATGAAATGGATAAAATCCTAGAAGAGTATGAAATCCAGGATATTCCATCAAAATTCAATTATATAATACCAATTAAAACTCTACATAAATAGCAACACTAAAATACCAAAGGTCATTAGACTCAGTTGTTAACATGTCACTGCTCCCCAAACTGATTTCTTGACGCAACAGATTCGGTGCATTTCCAATCAATCTCACTAAACATTTTATGTAGAAATTGGCAAGTTTATTCTAAGACTCATATGGAAACACGAAGGACCTAAACAGCCAAAGAAATCTTAAAAAAGAATAAAGCTGGAAGAGTCATACTACCTGACTTCGAAGCTTATTATACAACTACAGAATGAAGATAATGTGGTACCGGCAAAGGATTGAAAAATTAGATTGGGAAGGAATAAAACCCATTTGAAATCATAAACCACCATGAGATATCACCTCACCCCTGTGAGAATGGCTAAAATCAAGAACTCAAAAAACAACCAATGTTGGCGAGGATGTGGATAAAAAGGAAGCCTCGTGCACTGTTGGTGGGAATGCAAACTGGTGCGGCCACTCTGGAAGAGTGTGGAGGTGCCTCAAAAAGTTAACGTTAAAAGTAGAACTACCCTATAACCCAATAATCCCACTACTAGGGAACTACCCAAAGAATGTGAAAACATTAATTCAAAGGGACACACACCCCCCTATGTTTATAGCAGCACTATCTACAAGAGCCAAACTATGGAAGCAGCCCAAGTGTCCACCGACTGATGAAAGCATAAAGATGTGGTATATGTGCACAATGCACTATTATTCAGTGATAAAAAAAAGAATGCAATCTTGCCTTTTGCAAGAATGTGGATGAAGCTGGAGTATATTATGCGAGATAAGCCAGGCAAAGAAAGACAAATACCATATGATTTCAGTCATATGTGGAATTTAAGAAACAAAACAAATGAACAAAGACAAAAAAGACCAAGAAAAACCCAGACTCTTAACTAAATAAAATAAGCTGATAGTCACCAGAGGGGAGGTGGGGGGCGGGTGAAATGGGTGAAGGGGATTAAGAGCTTACTGATCATGATGAGCCCTGAGTAATATATGAAGTGTTGAATCACTATATTGTACTTCTGAAACTGATGTAATTCTATGGTAACTATACTGGAATTAAAATGTGTTTAAATGAATAAAAAATAAAAATATTTTTAAATGGAATAATAAAAACAAAACAAGGAATAGAAGCCCTTTGTTGTTTTTCAAAAATGGGGCTAGAACAATTGGATGTTCATATGGGGAAAAAACTCATCTTTATCTCTAGCTCACACCATATACAAAAATTAATCTGAGAGGAACTGAAACACAAAACTAGAAAGCTTTTGGAGGAAAGCATGAACAATAACTGCATGGCTTGGAGGTAACAAGCTTTCTTAAAAAATGTTTGCAAATCCCTCATTTGGTGGAAAATTCATGCCCACAATATACAAGGCAAGAATTCCTACAGCTCAAGAATAAAAAGGTAAGCAATCCAATTTTTTAAAAAGGCAAAAGTTTTGGGGTGCCTGGGTGGCCCAGTCAGTTAAGCATCCGACTTTGGCTCAGGTCATGATCTCACCATTCCCGAGTTCGGCCCCGCATTGGACTCTGTGCTGACAGCTCAGCGTCTGGAGCCCATTTCAGATTCTGTGTCTCCCTCTCTCTCTTTGCCCCTTCCCCTGCTTGCACTCCATCTCTCTCGCTCTCAAAAATAAATAAACATTTTTTTAAAAAGGCAAAAGTTTTGAACACACATTTCATCACAAAAGATAAACACATGCCAATGAGCACATGAAAAAGTGCCCCAAATCATCATTAGATGAAGAAATGTAAACTAAAACTAAAAATAAGTAGGAAACAAAAGCATCAAAAACGACTCCTGTATTTCCACTTCTGGCCAAGATGGAGAAGGAGGGACCAGATTTACCCCGTCTGTTGAAACAAGAACAACAACAAAATGTGTGGCAGGGGGAATGAAATGAAAGAATAGTGCCCAAAACAAATCAGACAGAAAACAACCATCTCCGAACAACAAGTAAACAGGGGCGCCTGGGTGGCTCAGTCGGTTAAATGTCCAACTTCAGCTCAGGTCATGGTCTCATGGTTCATGAGTTCAAGCCCTGCATTGGGCTCAATGCTCTCAGTGCAGAGCCCGCTTTGGATCCTCTGTCTCCCCCCCGCCCCCCATCTCTGCCCCTCCCCTGCTCATGTTCTCTCTCTGAAAAATAAATAAAACAAAAAGAAACAAGTAAATGAATGAGGTGAGCAGAATGATTGCCCCAGAGGACTGGGGAGTTTCCAGGTCACAGAGTAGAGAAGAGACACCCTTCCAGAAGTCTCTTCAAGTTGAAGAAATAGCTGAGGGGCTAGAGGGTTTGAGGTAGTTAGAGTTTGTCAGTGAGAAAAGGAGAGGAAGCTGAAAAGGAACACAGGCGTTTATTGGCGGTCTCAGAATTGCAATTCGGGGGAGAGCACAGATTCCGGAATAACCAGACAAGTGACACACTCATGCAGGGAAAGCAAGGAATTTTTATGAGAAAGAAGGAAGAGCTGATTACAAGATTGAAACAAAGAAGAGAGGGGAAACTCTGCTAATTTGGTGCTGCCCAGTTGAACCTGTGATAACTATCTTACTGACCACTGATTGGCTCCATCAAATGACACGCTCCCTGCTAGATATTAACTAACTTTCCTGCCCTCGTATGAAATGACTGTCAGTTGCTCTGTTGAAATTTGATGAGCCACCGCTTGTCATGACAATTGCTGCTTCTGGCCGCGTGAAGTTTCTAGACTCCAGGCTGAAGGCGCCTCGGATAGAGTGAGGGCAGGCAGTGGCAATGTGATGGGGTTCCCAGCCTCCAGTCTGAAGGTCTCTGGTCGTCTTCTGTCTCAAAAAGAGCTGTTGTGGCCATTTTTCTGAGCTTTACCAGCCTCCATTTGCAGGGCTTTGGGGGGAAAAAACAGCAGTTTCAGTTCCAGTTGTTCCGAGTGCCAAAAATGGGAGAAAACAAGAAACCCTTGTCTGGAGAGTCATAGTCAGGTATTCGAGGAAACCAGAAGAATTCGGGATGCAGCCCAGTTTTACAGAAACACTCAAAGACCCTCAGGACTAAAAGCCAATATGCACAACACTGTTACAGAGGCAATGTTTTTTTTTTTTTCTCTCTAAAATCACCCTAATTTCCACCAAGGAGAACTAAACTAAAACTAATTTGTTTATAAAATAAGTCCAGTTTTAGCCGAACTTAGCCCAATTATTTACATAAGTAGAGCAAGAACAGAGGTTGACCGCATAGACTTTAAAACTTGCTTTACTGGAACTTCTCATAAAGAATCTCTAGATTGAACTTTTAATAGCCTCTCAAGGCCAGAAGCCAAGCCAAATAACTGCCATTGGGTTTGCCTAAACTACCTACAGCTCTGGGTTCCTTCCTCCTCTCTGCTCAAAGTCCCCAGAATATGCTGTTTCCTGGGCCTGCTGGGAAGTGACCTTCCTTGCTAACCTGGTAAGAGGAGTCCTGTAAATTAGGGTACGAGGCTGACTATTTCAGAGGGACTTTGTTGGCCCATCAAGTCAACCTTAGTTCCTTAAATCTGTCTGTTCACATCTGAGTCTATGCATGTCTCTCTCAAATACGACATTCCAGTCAAAGCCTTGCTAGTATAACCTTGTTTCCAATTGTGTCCTGTTATGAGGAGAAGCTTATGCCAATAACTAGAATTCGCACAAAAATAAAAATATTCACTGAGAGTTTCCAAATTCTGGGGGAATCAGGGAGAAAAAGATGTTTCATATTTATTTTTAGGGATATATTAAAAATTTTTTAATATTTATTTTGAGAGAGAGAGAGAGCATGTGTGTGCGTGCAAGTGGGGGAGGGGCAGAGAGAGAATCCCAAGCAGAATCCCTACTCTCTGCACAGAACCTGACTCAGGGCTTGATTCCATAGACTGTGAGATCATGAGCTGAACTGATATCAGGAACTGGATGCTTAACTGACCTAGCCACCCAGGTACTCCTATTTTGCCAAATTTCTAAAAGACATAGGTACCTTAAGAGAAAAAATTTTCTCAAATCTGGAAGAACATGAGAGAACAGAATGTTTCAAATAAGAGTCATAAAAACTATAACCATCTTCCTCAATTCATTCAGCCCCGTATTATTAATGCTCATTCTGTTGGAATCCAGGCTTCACCCCAGTCCCAGAAACTCCTACCCAGTTTAGTTTTATAATCTTAAGGGTGTCAGAAACCTGTATGTGTCCAAAGTCCTCTCCATTAATCCCCTTGAAGATGAAATACATTTGTAAGAGCATCAGAGTAAAACAGCTGTAAATGAAAAAAGACGAAAAACTGGCCATGGTTAAAGACCTGATGAGAGTTCTTTACAATGCAATTGACAAAGGAAATTTGGCTATTTCTGTGACACATAACAGTTTCATAAATAGAATGATAAGTGATAACATTATGCTGGATATATCAAAACTTTAGAAGCTTCATATAATTTCTGGAATAGTTATATTAATAACATTCCCTCATATGATATGCCCAAAGAAAGTTTATCATCACTTATGACAATGCCTCCCTTGTAACTGAGCGTAAGAAATAAATGAGTCTAATTAATCAAAAAGACTTCATTTAGAATTTGAATTGGGAGAAGTTTGTCAAAAATATCACAAAATGTTTATTTATTTTTGAGAGAGAGGGAGAGAGAGACAGAGTGTGAGAGGGAGAAGGGCAGAGAGATCTGAAGCAGGATCCAGGGTCTGAGCTGTCAGCAGAGAGCCACATGCAGGGCTCAAACCCATGGACCATAAGATCATGACCTGAGCCGAAGTCAGACATTTAACTGACTGAACCACCCAGGCACTCCAAATATCAGAAGATTTTAAAGCACATGACCAAAAAGGGAACACAGATTATTATGAAATTTAATTATCTGTTGAGCTGAAATGACAATAAAAGATTCTAAAGGCAAATACAGACATGCTTGTTAGCAAAATTTAGCTCTTATTGAAAAGATTCCATTTTCTTAAGTAATCAAAGTCCCAATAAAGATAAAACATGGAAACTGTGTTTCTATGCAGATTAAAGATAAATAATAACTTTGTTTACAATTTCTCACTAAGAATAGACCAAGAATCTAAGAAAACTTAATTCACTTGAACAGAGAGAAAAACCAAATTTCATCTTGTGCCAGGGTATTTTGATATTAGAACTCACTCATTCTAATCTTAGCCCTGACCACACATAAAAGTACTTCTCAAAGATTCCTTTTTACAGACTTTCTACAACTTTCATTTTACATTCATATTTTGTCTTTGTTTTTCCTCCTTAAACAACCAACCTGGCTTTAGGGCAAAACTGCTTTTTTCCATCAATAACAACAACAACAACAAAATGCACCTCCATTCCTGATCCCTTTTCTTACCAAAAACATATATCTCATTCTTTTTGTATATGATGATGGTTTCCTTATTATTTCTAGTTGTTTAATTATATTTATTAGAACCCTTAACCCTTAGAACCCTTAATTTCTAATGAAAAGTAAGAAGTAAACAATTGTGAATTGTTAAACCAATGTTCTTTAGTTTTCTTTATTTAACAAAATTTTTTTAATGTTTATTTATTTTTGAAGGAGAGAGAGACTGAGTGTGAGTGGGGGAGAGGTAGAGAGAGGAAGACACAGAATCTGAAGCAGGCTCCAGGCTCTGAGCTAGCTGTCAGCACAGAGCCCGACGTGGGGCTCGAACCCACGAACCATGAGATCATGACCTGAGCTGAAGTCAGATGCTTAACCAGCTGAGCCACCCAGGCATCCCACACCAGTGTTCTTTAGATGGTAAACATATGAATACGGTGAATATTTTTTTAGAAATATATGTCTCCTCAAGGCAAATTTCTCAGCATGGCACAGAGCATATTTGCTAACAGACCCCAAATCTTTAGTTTCTAAAAGGAAGTCAAAAGTAGATAAACCTATGTTTAGTAATTAATATTTATGTATTTTATCTTATTTGGAAAGATCTAAAAATTGTATGACTATCCATAATTTAATTTAATGTAATAAAACTAAGGTTTTAAGTCACCCCCCCAAATCAGGGGAAACTATTCAAGTATACATAAATATATTCAAAAGTTCATTTCTAAACTTTTGTCTTACTTTAATTCACTTGCTCTTCACCATTATGCTTAGATTAGTCATGAAAATTTCATGAGACATTAAATAGCTAACCATCATCTCTAAGTTCTCCTCCTTGCTGACAAATTCTCTGACAGGGATAATGTGAATTTATTCGACTTTTAGTAAACCTAAGTAGAATAAAAGTATTATATTTAATGCGAACAGCTCTAACAACACACCTGTTTTAATTAGACAATCTTCCATTCAGTGGTTTGATTTTTTGTTGTTTTTTTGTTTTGTTTTGGGGGGGGGCCTTGCTATGGAAGCCCTGCACCCCTAGCCCCCTGCGGGAGCTGACTTGCTCCAGACAGAGCCCACTTCTGAGCTCTTCCACACTCACCCTGTGATATCCTTAAAACCAAGTCAGACTCAGCCACACGATGATCGTCAGCCACAGCTGTTCCTGAAAACCTCTTTCTTGAACACACACATGTGTAATCTCACACGTGACTATTTCATCTCCCCTGGGTGGGGGGAGGGGCACAGAGACCCTGTGAGCCATCTTGCTACCCTCTCCCACCCAAGCCCACCCTTCCATCCCCACATAATCCGTCTGAACAAACTGCTGTGTCCTTTCTGTCTTTCTGTCACACAACCGTTACAACCAGCCACAACTCAACCACATATATATTCATACGGTGGGGTTTTTAGTCTAGTTCACAAAAACGAGGTCTTGTTTACACCGCTCCTCATGTTGCTGTGCTCAGTCAACCGCTCGTGAAAGCTGACTTGGATAGCCCTGACGCATCTGGTTAGTAGCTGCCTAATACTCCCTGGTGGGAAAATACCATAGTTTTTTCACCCATCTTGTTAATCAGTATTGGTTTTTCACAACTACACACAATGCTTGCAATAAACATCCCTGAAGACACACTTTTAGGTACTAGGTTATTTATTTATGTATTTGTTTGTTTATGAGAGAGAGAGAGAGAGAGAGAGAGAGAGAAAATACAAAGCAGGCTACGTGCTGTCAGCGCAGAGCCCGACGCAGGCCTTGACCCCGAGAACCACAAGATTGTGACCTGAGCCGAAATCAAGAGTCAAATACTTAACCGACTGAGCCGCCCAGGCGCCCCGACTATCTACTTGATGACTGGTGCTATCAAATAACCCAGTCCCTCCTCTGTATTTGTTAACTTTACTGTCCTCTGATCTGGCTGCCAATTGCTCTGTTGAAATGTTATGAGCGACAGCTTGTCAAACAGTTGCCGCTTCAGGCCCAGTTCCAGAGCTCATTGGTCGGAAAGGAAAATGGGAGATTGAGAGAGGCAAGGTGGCGGAGAGGTAGGGCGCTCGGTGCATTTCGCCTGCACCCGTCTCTCGAACAGAGAAGGCCTGAAGTCGTAGGACACTGAGCAGCAGGAGTTTGGGAAGAGGAAGAGACAGAGTACATGGGGAAGCAAACCTCACAAGTGCGTGAGTGCAAACTGGGGAAGATATAAGCGGGACGGGACCAGAGACACGGAGGGAGGGGAGGGAGCCCCGCTCGCGTGCAGCTGCGGGGAGTGATTGACAGGCCAGTGGGTGCGAGCTGCCGCGAGTCCAGGGAAAGGAAAGAAAAGCTGCGATTGCTCATAGAACTGTCCCTGGAGAAGAGGGAAAAAAAAAAACCCTCAGCTTGGAAAGACAGTGTTTTGTAGCTCTGGCTGGGGTGCTGACTTTCAACTAGGTGCTCTGGTCCCAGAAGGTGCCAGGAAAAACTGAACTGCCGTTTGCCCGGCACCGTCCATGGCGGTGGCCCGGTGAAGCGGTGGCAGAGCA